GAGGGGGGGCGCGCGGGGCGCGCGGGGCTCGCGGGGCGCGCGTGACGCGCGGGACGCGCGGTGCGCGCGGCGCGCGAGGCGCGCGAGGCGTGCGGGGCCTCTTGGGAAGCCGTCTTAGGCTTCCTGAGAGGCCTCTGGGTATCCTGGGAGGCTCCTTGGGCCTCCTGAGAGGCCTCTTGGGCCTCTCGAGAGGCCTCTTGGGCCTCCTGAGAGACCTCTTGGGCCTCCGGGGAGGCCGCTTAGGCATCCTGGCAGGCCTCTTGGGCCTCCTGGGAGGCCTCTGGGGCTTTCTGGGAGGCCTATGGGGCCTCCTGGGAGGCCTCTTGGGCCTCCTGGGAGGCTTCTTTGGCTTCCTGAGGCCTCTTTGGGCCTTCTGGGAAGCCCCTTGGGCCTCCTGGGAGGCCTCTTGGGCCTCCTGAGAGGCCTCTGGGGCCTCCTCAGAGGCCTCATGGGCCTCCTGAGAGGCCTCTTGGGGCTCCTGGGGGGCCTCCTGGGAGGCCTCTTGGGCCTCCTGGGAGGCCTCTTGGGCCTTCTGGAAGGCCTCTTGGGCCTCCTGAGAGACCTATTGGGCCTCCTGAGACGCCTTGGGCCTCCTGAGAGGCCTCTTGGGCTTCCTGAGAGGCTTCTTGGGCCTCCTGGGAGGCCTCTTGGACCTCCTGGGAGGCCTCTTTGGCCTCCTGAGAGGCCTCTTGGGCCTCCTGAGAGGCCTCTTGGGCCTCCAGAGAAGCCTCTTGGGCCTCCTGAGAGGCCTCTGGGGTCTCCTGAGAGGCCTCTGGGGCCTCCTCAGAGGCCTCTTGGGCCTCCTGTGAGGTTTCTTGAGCCTCCCGCGACAGGCCCCTTGGGCATCCTGAGAGGCCTCTGTGGCCTCCCGAGGGGCCTCTTGGGCCTCCTGAAAGGCCTCTGGGGCCTCCTGGGGGGCCTCTTGGGCCTCCTGGCAGGCCTCTAGGGCCTCCTGGGAAGCCTCCTGGGAGGCCTGACGACGAGGGCGTGATGATTGTGATTGAGGCGGTCGAACGGGACGAGGGCGTGATGATGATGATGATGATGATGATGATGATGATGATGATGATGCTGATGCTGATGCTGATGCTGATGCTGATGATGGTGATGATGATGATGCTTCTGATGATGATGGTGAGTATGATGATGATGATGCTGATGATGATGATGATGATGATGCTGATCATGATGATGATAACGATGACGATGACGATGACGACGACGACGACGATGACGACGACGATGATGATGGTGGTGATGATGCTCATGATGATGATGATTATGCTGGTGGTGATGCTGATGCTGATGGTGGTGCTGATGATGATGATGATGACTGTGATGCCGATGCTGCTGCTGGTGATGCTGATGCCGACGACGATGATGGTGGCGGTGGTAGTGGTGGTGATGATGCGGATGATGATCATGATGATGATGATGATGCGGATGATGATGGTGATGGTGATGATGATGATGATGATGATGATGATGATGATGATGATGATGATGATGTTGATGATGATGATGATGATGATGATGCTGATGGCGGTGGTGACGATGACGACGACGACAATGACACCGACGATGATGATGGTGATGGTGATGATGACGATGATGACGATGATGGCGCTGATGATGATGACGATGCTGCTGCTGCTGATGGTGGTGATTGGGAGGCCTCTTGGGCCTCCTGGGGGTCCTCTGGGGCATCCTGGGGGGCCTATCGGGCCTCCTGGGAGGCTTATTGGGCCTCCTAGGAGGCCTCTTTGGCTTCCTGAAGCCTCGTTGGGACAACATCACACATCATCAAGCATCGTGCATCATACATCACTATACACCATCAAACACCATACATCATAACACATCATCATACATTATCGTACACCATACATCATACATCATAACACACCATCAATACAATACATCAGAATACGTCACCAACTACCATACATCATACTAGACCGTCAAACACCGTACAGCATACATAATCATACATCATCAAACATCATGCTTCGTAATACATCGCACATCATCAGACATCATACAACAAACATCGAACATCATACATCATCAAGCATCATACATCAAACATCAAACATCATACATCATCAAACATCAAACACCATCAAACATCAACCATCAAACAGCATACATCATCAACCACCAACCATCGTACATCATCAACCATCTCACATCAAACATCACACATCATCAAACATCATACATCATCAAACATCGAACATGCAACATCAAACATCATACATCATCAACCATCAATCATCGAACATCGCACATCAAACACCAATCATCATTAAACATCAAACATCATCAACCATACATCATACATATCATCAAACATCAAACATCAACCATCATCAACCATACATCATACATCATCAAACATCAAACACCAAACATCATACAACATCAATCAGCCTTAAACACCATACATCAAACATCAAACATCATTCAACATCATTTAACATCAAGCATCAAACATCAAACATCCAACATCATTCAACATCAAACATCAACCATCAAACACCATACACCATTAATCACCAGACATCTTACATAGCCAAGCGCCATACACCAATCATCCTACATCAGCGTACATCATCATACAACTTCATACATCATCATACATCGTCATACATCATCATACACTTTCATACAACATCATACATCATCATACACCATCATACATCATCATACATCAGCATACACCATCATACATCATCATACATCATCATACACCATCATACATCATCATACTTCATCGTACAACATCATACATCATCATGCATCATCGTACAACATCATACATCATCATACATCATCATACATCATCCTACATCATCATACATCATACATGAAACACCCACTCCCACACCCACACCCACCCACAATTTCCTTGTGTTTTTTTGTTAAAGCCGTTGGAAACGCGAAACCTCCATCACCACCCTTAAGTCGTCTCACGGACGAACTGCCCGGCCGCCATCCCCCGTTCAGCCCTAGTAGTAGTAGCAGGAGCAGGAGGAGGACGAGGAGGTGGAGAAGTAGGAGGGTCAGGAGAAGGAGGATGACACGATTGAGTCAGAAGGATGATGTGGGATAAACGCCTCGTTTGAGGTTTTCCAATTTATCTTCGCTGCTCGCGTTGTGTTTCTTCCAACCCATGTTAGGGTCCTTCTAGTGTCCTTTCGCCATCCCTCCACTCCCCACCGCATCAGTATTTTGCTGTTTTTCGAGCTCAGAGCAAGCACGCAATCTACCCTCGTAGCCCCCTCGGTGGTGGCCGCATGCAGCGGCAAGGTGGGGAAGAAAGGGGGCGCTTCGTGGCGCGCCTGTCTCTCCCTCCTTCCGCGAGGCTCGAGGATCGAGGACCGAGTCTTGGACCCTCGCGGCCCTCCTGGGGCCTCCAGAGGCTGCCGGGGCTCCGTGGAGTCCCCCCGCGACCTCCGAGGACCCCCCGGGAGGCCCTGGGCGGGCGAGGGCGCCTGCCTCGGGGCCTCGGCCCCTCGCCCCGCGCGCCCGACAGGCTTCGCCGTGAACAATGTGATCCTCGGGCTGCTGTCGCAGTGCGGCATGCCCGCGCAGCTGTACTACGTCTACAACGCCGCGTGCGTGCCGATCGCCCCGGCCTCGGCGTTCGCTGCGGTCTCGGCGGGTCGTCGCTGCGCTATGCATGGATGCGGCGCGGGCTCGACGCGGGCAGGGCCGCCACGGGACAGGCAGGGTCCCCCGGGGATGCAACGTAGAGGTCGGAGCAGGCTCTGCGAGCTCCCACGGGCAGCAGCTGTCGGGTGGGCTGGCCTCAGGGACGGCCGTCGGCCGCTCTTTGCAGCGCTCGTCGACGGTGTCGCCCCTCCTCCTCCGCCTCCGCCTCCGCCTCCGCCTCCTCCTCCTCCTCCTGACCCTTCCTTTTTTTTCCCGCGAAGCCTAAAACATGCGCAGTGCCGCCGCCCGACTGAGCCTGCTACGGATGCGAGATCCGCATTTCGACGAAGATTGTTTGCTCTGAGGGTCTCCTGGTTGCTCTCTGACGGATCTCCCTGAGCGCCCTTTTCTGTTGGTGGGCGGTTGTAGGGTCCCAGCGGTGGGCGCTTGGTCTCGGTTGTCCGGAGCGCCCACTTGTGTTAGTAGTCCTCCATAGGACCACGAAGGCGGGCGCCACGTCCTCTTGGCCCTGAGCGCCCATGTTGACGGTGCGCGCCCCTTGGTGGTCCCACCCCATAGGGCCCCCCCCCACAGTGTTCCGCCCGTAGGTTTCCAGACATCGGGTCCCACTTGTAGGGTCGGACCTCCAGGGTCACAGTCACGAAGTCCACCGAGGGGGTCCCCCCCGCAGGTTGCGGTAGACTTTCATCACATTGCGCCCTACACGTCGTAACCCGTGGGCTGCACCCCAGAAATCCCACCGCCTGCATTACACCCCGTGTTTATCCTTGCTTACTTCACATCCCATGAGCCCAACGTTGCACCCCATCGGTCGCACCCCACAGGTTGCTTCCCATGCGTTGCTCCCCATTGGCTGTACTCTTTCGATTGCACCCTGAATATGGTATCCTGTGTCTTGTTTCTTGCTGCACGAAATAATAATTTGGGGTCCGTGCCGCTGGCATCATTTAGGAGAGCTACGTTAAGTATGCATAGGAGGGACCAGGGTTGGGGAAAGCGAAGAGGCGAGATGAGGAACTGGAAGAAGGGGGAGATGGAGAGCAAACGAGGCAACACATGGCAACTTCTTGGCAGGAGAAAGCGATGCGCACAACTTGCGTGCTCTCTAGAAGAGTGCAACGACCTGAGCTCTGAGTGAGGAGCCACGGTCGGCACGAGCGTTCCCACGGTGCCTGGAGGTCGGACCTCCCAGGGTACAGCATCCCAGCGCCCGATCTTCGAGACACTCGGGGGTGGACAGAACCCCCAACAGTGACACGCCGACTAGTGAGCTGTCCGTTCTCGGTTCTCGAAATGGCGCCGTGGCCGTTATTTTCCAGGCTTGCGCCCGCCAGGTTTGGGCCTCAGGTCGTTTTCACTGGACCACGCTGTACTAAAGGGGGGTCTGTCCATCCCCGAGGCACGATGCTGGCGCCCAGCAGCCGGGCGCAGCCCCTTGCAATGATTCCTCAGGATGCCCCGAGCGCCCTGTCGGTTCCACTGGATTCTCTTGCAGGGCATACGTGTACGAACCTTTCGCGAACCGGTGCTGACACAGATGGTGAAGTTGGGAGGGCCGTTCGGGCCGGCCGGCAAGTCATCATTCTGAGCACTTTCTTCATTCATCTCTCACTGCTGCTGCTATACCAGTTTGTCTTCACCCCGCGCACGCTGCTGTTTGGGTTGACCGTATCTTCCTCCTCTTCCCAATTTCAATTTTCACGACACTGACATCCTTCTGAGGGACGCGCAGGCCCTCCTCGACCAGGACTTGTCGCTGAGCATCTACCGTCGACAGCGTCTTCTCCGAGCTCTTGGGAACTCCCAGCTCGTGCATTTCCTTTCTCGGCACGCTCCACACTAGCATCTTCCACTGCGTCTTCCGATCGCAGGTTGGGGCAGAATCCGGGGTGACCTGTCGCTGACCCCGTGGAACGCTCAAGCCTGATTTGCTGCAGAGCCGGCGCGCCACCAGGCGAAGGCCAGATACTTGGCTTCACTGTTAGGCCGAGCTGACGTCGTCCACCTCACGGAGACGCACGGCAGGACTGCCGGGCATCGATCGTGGCGGCCACCCTCTGGCAGCACAGCGTGGTGGTCTGCTGGCCATCCCACGGGCCACGCTGGTGTGGGCGTCGTGATCAAAAAAATCGTTCCCTGAGCAGTTCGATGGCTCCCCCACGTGGGGCGTTGTCTTGCCGGGCCGAGCCGCCTCGCTGCGGCTTTCTGGGGGGGCCTGGGGCCTTGGACCTGACTGTGGTGTGCCTCCCCACCAGCTCCTCGACAGGCGAGACGGAGCTTTACGGCGCGCTCCCGTCAGCCCGCAGAGCTCGTTCATCGTTTCCTGCGCTTCGTGGACATCTTCAGGGTCGCCTCGCGCGGAGCATCGCTCCTCGCGATTCGGCGCTGTCGATTCTGGGAGGCGACTTCAGCTATGTCAGATCCCTGGGCGATCGCACCTCGCTTTCCACGGCCGATGCTTCTGGGAGGCGGGACAGCAGGAAGGAGGAGCACTTCCAGTTGGTACTGGGTGGACCGTACTGTTTCCATGAAATGCACCAGCCAGAGGTAACGCACGCTTCGGCGACGGCTCGTTCTCGCCTAGATCGTTTTTATTGCAACGGGCACGTGGCCGAGCAGTTTGACCAGTATCTTCGGGCCGCTGCACTGGAGTGGCGCGTCGACGTGTACGCCCACCGCACCGTGATTTTTACGCGGCACGCTCGTCATTGCCCTCTCTGACCGCGCCGTCGGGGTACGATGATTGGCCTCGTCGGGTTCATTTGCACGATGGGGAGATGCTGAAGGGCAGTCCGGACTTCCTCCGCTGCGCCGGCTCCAGCTCCTCAAGGACGCCATGAGGTTCGTGGCCCGCGCGTTGGACAAGACTGCCGCCGCGACCGTGCTGGTAGAGTCATTGGAGGACCGGCTGGGGGTGACCATGAAGTTTCTGTGGGCTTTCGAAAGGGGATCGATTGGGGAGGTGTCGCCGTGTCTCTTGCGTTACCAAACCCTGACGGAACACGTCTCCAAGCCATACGATGTCACAGGGAACCTCACCGTGAAGCTCCACCGCGTTCGCGAACATGCAGTCCGTCTTGCGCGTAAACGTTTTGGGCGAGCTCGGCCGTGCACGCGGAGCCCTTCAAGGCGATGATCCAGATCGTGCGCAGAGGCAGCGGCAGCGGGGCACACGCTTGTCATATCGATTAGTCCCTGGACGTTCTGGGTTGGTCTCGGCTGTCCTGGACGCGCGTGGGGAAGTACGTTCCGATGCCGACGGCATGGCGGGTGCTCTATGTGACCACTGGCGCGAGGTATTTCGGGCACGCGGAGTGGATGTGCCTTCGCTAGAACTGGTGCTGGACGAGGAATTGTACCACATGCGCCTCGCGAGCACCGCGCCGTTCCCAGACCGCGCACTCTGGCTTCGTCGGAGGCACGTGCGCAGCGCCATTTTGAACGCAAGCAATTCTTCCCCCTGGGCCTGTTGGGATACCATTTGTGGCATGGCGTCGCCTCGAAGCCCTCGCTGTTGACGTCATCATCGAAGCGTTCCAGTCCATGACCACCGAGGCCAGTTCCGAAGTGACGCTGGAGGAGTACTGGGAGTTCAACTCGAGCCTGCTCTTCTTATTGCCTACGAGTCCGACTGGCACTCAAGGGGATGGTACCGAATACAATGCCCCAGAGGCGGTGCGGCCGCTGAACGTTACGAGATCCGACAACCACCTTCTAGCCTGCGCGGTGAGGATCCTGATCGAGCCGTGGGTAGGTCCCAAGGTCTCAGCGGCCCAGCGCGGATTCATCGCAGACCGATCCATGTCGGCCAATATTGTGGACATACACAAGGCACTTGCAGTGGGCGTTTTGCCGGCAGAAGGGGACTCGGCCGCTGTGTTCTTCGATGTCGCGGCGTCTCTCCCCGCCGTGGAGCACGAGTTTGTGCATCGTCTCTTCGCGGCGCTTGGATGGCCGCCGTGATTGTTCCGGTTCGTGCGCGTCCTCTACCAGGGTAACGGGAGACACGCGGTCGTGGGGGGGTCGAGGCACGGCGGTTTCCCCCTGACATGGGGCATCCGCCAAGGCTGTCCTCCGTCACCGTCTCTTCGCGGTCGCCTCGGACGTTCTGCTCGGGCGTTTGCAGTGCGCCTTCCCGAGGGCCTGCATCTGGGCGTTCGCCGACGACCTCGTTAGGGTTGTCGCCGCACTCCTTTCGGCGGTCCCCGCGTTGGCGGAACTGTGCCGCGAGTGCGCGAGGATCTCGGAGCTGTCTTTGAACTTCGCGAAAACAGCGGTGGTCCCACTGTGCCCACCATGCCGACGCATTCCGCCGGTTGTTGACCACTGCGGCCCCGGCATGGGTAGCTGTAGCCATCGGGCTTTGGGCAAGGAATCTGGGCTTTGTCCTCGGCCATGGCCGCGAGGACAAGTCCTGGGCGGCCCCGCTTGACAAGTAGTTTGGCCGGGCCAAACTCTGGGGCGCGATCGGGGCCAGTTTGCGCGCTTCGCTGTTTGCCTACCAGGCATTTGCTGCGAGCGCCCTCGTGTTCGTCGGCCAATCGGGCGTGCTTCCTAAGAGGTTTGGGGGCCAGGAGGCCCGGGCGCGCGCGGCGCTCCTGCCAGGGCGGGGGGGCTGGATGTCGCGAAGGTGCCTTCATGGGCTGCGCGACGGTGCGCAGCCGCTAAAGCAAGAGCTTGCCTCTTCGAGAATCGTCGACGCGGGGGTCCCCAGGTCCAGGAACGCAGTGATCGGCTTCAACAGGTAATGGCAGCATCAACGGGTCTGCCGCCCGCCGGGGCGAGGCGGGCATGGCCGGACAATCTTGTTCTCTTCCACCTGGCGCGCGCCGAAACGGCGCTCACGGCCGAGTGCGTTCGCGTTCCCCACTCTCTCCCTCTATCTTGCTTATTGGGCCCACGCGCGTTGGCTGGCAGGCCAGATCGACTGCGCTCCTCCGCGCTCGTCCAGACGG